GAGAGAGAGAGAGAGAGAGAGAGAGAGAGAGAGAGAGAGAGAGAGAGAGAGAGAGAGAGAGAGAGAGAGAGAGAGTCCGTACGTTTGATGAGAGAATGCAAAACCTGTCAGAAGGAATTTATGTTACAATAAGCTACAGGTGCGTACCGTACAATAATGCATTAAACAATGTTTAAACAAATGTTAAACAAGTTTGCAAACCAGTTTAACGATAAATTCAAGTAAAAATAGATGCTCTTCACTCCGAACAATAAATACAAGAGAATAGCAACATGGATTAGCCTGCGCCGCTCTTGTCTAAAATTTATCACAGATTATTTATTTACAGTTTCTTGTCAGGAAATCCATTCCATTGAAAATACTACAAAAAGGTATTAAGAAAACTCTAGCCTGAGTTATTACAGGTTTTTAGAATCCTTAGTCTCTCAATCAGATTTTAGCTAGTAGTGAACCCTGGAATATCGATAGTGAAGCTACGTTTGCCTCGAGAGAGTCTTTAAGGTCTTTTAACTTTATATCTGGCCTTGAGCACAAGAAAATTAAAAGTCCTTTTAGTAGTATCCGCTTTGAGGAGAGACGTATTGCCCGTGCTTATTATAAACGTTTATGGAAAAAGCTACAGTTTTTGCTTGGAAATTTTAACGAAAATGTGTCCTTTGTATGGGAGCCGGCAGATAATGAGGGAGTAAATTATGACAACTTGGCAGTACTAAGGTAGACATGACTATGTCATTTTGTAATACAATTGAATCGACACCCTTAGACGCATTTAATATTGTAAAATGCCGCCAACTCTATCCTCCCACTATTTACACCCTCCCCTTTTCTATATCTGCGTATTATTGAAGCTTTAGACAAAAGAAATAACTGTATATGAATAGGCAATCCATGTTTTAATGAGAGTTTTTGCCTCGTACATATATATCTGATGGCCTGTGACTTTCATTGTATATATTTGGAATCAAAATCAAAGTTACTACATTCGGTAATTAATATTTGCTAGTTCTGTGGCCAGTTAAGTCGCATGATTAGGAGATCAGGATATTCATTTTATTATTGGATTACGTACGTAATTGCAAGTGCATTTACCATCTATGAAATCCTACAAAGTGCATGCAGTTGAATATAAATATGTACGTAACTGCTACGAATGAATGAACAAAAATGTATGATGATTATGTTTCTCTGCTTCAGCTATACACTGCATAAACCAAACACTAGCATAATCAGTGTAGCAAAAAGCGTAGGTCTTTGCGACTACAATTTACGTTTTCATTGGTGTAAAATAAGCGATAAATGGGAAAGTGCACTGATGTGCACGCAACGGCGTCTAGAACGCAGAGCTATAGGCGCCAAAGTGTTTTATGGCATACTTTACCAAAGCAGTTCTGATCTCTCTCTCTCTCTCTCTCTCTCTCTCTCTCTCTCTCTCTCTCTCTCTCTCTCTCTCTCTCTCTCTCTCTCTATATATATATATATATATATATATATCAGCCTTTAGAAATAAGGAGGAAAAAAACTATACTCGTTAAAACTTCTTGGAATCTTACTTTAAAATATAGCACCTTAGCACGCCTTTCACAAGAATAGAGAGGCAAACAGGTTATTTTCCAATGACCGAATCAGTACGAAAAAGAGTTTATTTGATTTACTACATCATGTGGATTTGTGATCTCAGTCCAGTCATAGTCTTTGCCTGTGCTATTTTAACTTTGCCAAAGATTAATTGAGCTGAAATCAGGGGGAAAGGTGTATTTAGCTGTCAAATATAAGTGCAACACACAACAAACACTTTAATACTCATCTGGTTGCTTAGCTCCGTTTTGGGGAAGGTAGTCAAACAAATGTATGGCGAATATCCACAACACGGGTGGTGGGATGGCATATTAACCAATTACGAGAGCAGTTATTCAAGATAACAGCGATACACTTATGTTAATGGTTTTTTTAGAAGATTTAAGTTTTAGAGATTTAAAATGTCAATCAGCTTGTCGTAGTCAAGCCTCACTAGGTTGATAAAGACTAGGGTGATTTATTTCTCAGAAAAAACAGTCTGTGTTACAGAAATGTGATTGACAGGAACTGTATTCGCTGTTTTCATAAATTCGTACAAACAAAAAGCTTCAGAGGTGTAAAACCGTCATATGCTGACAAGGGATTGACACCTAGCCATATATGCTAGTAACAGAGTGGAATCCAGAATGGTATTGACATGGGGCATGACATTCTAGTGAGTAGTAACAAGGTGAACTGACATTTCATGTCAATAAGGGTTCAGTTTGGATCTATAAGGAGACTTGCATCTAGCAATACATGTTAGTTGCAGTGCCAGTTGCATCCATAATTGAAATGACATCTAGCATTCGGTGCTCACCAAAATTCCTCCTCCACATCTGCGTTGCTAGGAAGCATCCACAAAAGTGTTGGCTAACGTCTATGCCAGTTAGGAACTTTCACTGCACATGGGTATCACATGACATCCAGCAGTCCGTTTGACTTAGAGACGTCCAGTCTAGTTAGATTCGTTACGGAGGATATGACAGCTATTTCGGCAAGAAGTGACGGGTGGTCTTCAACAGATGCTGTAAACCATTCCCTCGTAGTTAAGCCATCTATCGGGTACCCTGGCTTCAACCTTCCAAATAATACGTACATCACGCTGAATCGATACCGAAAAGGACATGGTCGTTGTGCAGTCAACTTTGTTTGATGGGCCAGGCCACCTTTACTGTTGCTGTGGAACACTACAAATCATGTCACACATTGTGAATAACTATCCAATGACAAAATTGCTCGATGGAATGCAGGCTCTGCACCTTGATGACGCTGTTAAACGGCTGAGAACACACTGCACACGATAAATAATCTAGCTTTACAAGTCAATGACAGGGCTGTTTGTAAGCATACGGGGTTTGAATTCAAGCGGTATATGTTAGCGACAGGGTAACTTGTAGCTATAACAATAGTATACAATTTATTCTCATAGCCTTCGTAATATTGATTAATGAAATGGCATGGAGAAAGCACTTTAACGCCAACTCTGCAATGTAAATAATGTATTTGTTTTGTCGATTTAGGTACAAGCTATTCCAAAAGACATTCCGACACTTTGTAATTGGCCACAGCATAATACAACCGGTCAGTAATGGCAATTCAACGACTGTCTCTCAGCCGAGGTAGCTGTTCGAATGCTAATCAGACATCGGTATTTATGTAGTGAAACAAACATTACAGTTTGTCTATGACATCAGTCAATGAAGCTGTAGGCGTGTTTGAAAGTTTTCTCCACAAGCCCAAACTATTTTTCTCATAAACAGCCTAGTTGCAGATGCATAAAGAAGCAAGGAAATCTATCAATCCGAAAAATATTTCTTATTTATCACTCGTTTAATATATATATATATATATATATATATATATATATATATATATATATATATATATATATATATATATATATATATATATTTAATTTAATACAACAATACTTTCATACAGATTAGAGAAATTAAATTCGTACTCTACCGAGTTTCGAACCCAGGTCCTCGAGTAAATGGCACCCATCACCTTGCCTGCACGCACCACCCATATACATTCAAGACTAAGCACGCATCACCAAAAAACTGATCGCACTGAGTCAGTGTTATATAAGCTTGTGCGTAGCAGACACACTCGCATGACGACCTAGTAAACAATTCTCATATATATATATGATATGATATATATATATATATATATATATATATATATATATATATATATATATATATATATATATATATATATATATATATGATATGATATATATATATATATATATATATATCGTTCCAGATTCCTGTGAATGAAATCAAGGTATATAGGATTTTTGTATTACAAAGAATTATAAATATATACCAGACAGAACAGACAGTGATATCTCTGGATTCTGTAGTAGAATCTTAATAATAATGGGCAGAAATAATAGATGATGCGTGCTTAGTCGTGACGATATATGGACTGGTGCGTGCAGGCAAGGCGATGGGTGCCATTTACTCGCGGACTGGGGTTCGAAACTCAGTAAAGTACGAATTTAATTTATCTAACCTGTATGATACTATTGTTTGTATTAAACTATTATTTCTGCCCACTATTATCAAGATTCTGCTACAGAATCCAGGGATATCAGTGTTTGTTTTATCTGATATATATATATATATATATATATATATATATATATATATATATATATATATATATATATATATATGTTGTTTCTTAATTCATTCCCAAACATTATTATCAAAAGTCGGTTTTAATGCTCAACTATTGTAATAAAGATGTAACTTGCACTACAAATGACTTCGGCTGTTGAACATACTTAATGGGCATTTTACCTGAACGCTCTCAAAAGTTTCTAGTAAACATTGGTATTGATGCCCCTCTATCTATCACTCTCAAGCATAGATAAATAATTCTTTCGTGTATCCATTCACCATGCAATACAATTTTGCAACTATAATGCCTGCGAATACACTTTCTACTAATGCACAGGAACTAATAACAGGTTGGTCATAAGGTTAATTAATCCGAAATAACCAGCACGATGCATTAGCCATCCCAAAAGTCCCTGACACTAACTTTTGGTGTCTTTAAACCATTTTATGATGTTGTTTTGAAACCCAAACAGTAAGCTAAGCCTTGAAGTCTATTTCGTAACGTTATTTGAAAACAAGACAGTATTTCGTGACGTTCTTTTGAAAACCAAAAGCAGTAGGCAACAATAATGAAAAGCGTCTTACCCATGTCAAATATATAAGCATGTTTCATGGTGGTTTTTTTTGAAAATCAAACAGTAAGCCACGATGAAGTCTATTTTATGACGTACTTTTGAATATCAAACAGTAAGTCACGAAGAAAAGGCTAATTCATGACTTTCTACTGAACACCGAACGTATACCACGATGTAAAGGCTATTTCATGACGTTCTATTAAAAACCAGACATTTGCCACGACTTAAAGGCTTTTTTAAGACTAGGCCGGGGTTTCAGCCCACAACCTCCCGCATCTGAGGCGGAGGCTCTAACCACATAAGCCATCATAGCAGTAACAAAAATAACTTATAATCACATACTTAATGAAAACTTAAACTACATCAAAAGACCATATTAATCCAGTGTAATATAAATATTGTTATGCCGGTTTCGAGAATTGTTTTCCACATGGCTTTTTCATGATTATGGATAAAGTTTATTTTGTATATGGGGTTACAAGTGGAAATATTCCCTTCCGAAGAGTAAAGGCAATGGACACATACATCAGTGAAAGTGAATGTATTTGTCACAATCAAAATTAGTTTAACCCTCGCTGAAACCCAAAGTACGCACATTGTCATATGAAGAATACAATTGAATTTCGTTTGTGCCAAATCCTTAAAATGTTAACAAATTTTGAGCTATAACACTAATCAAGGAAACTAGTAGGTATATATTATCAGAGTGGCCCTTTATCACACTACATCATACTGTAACGTTATTTTTTCTTTGAAATGTCAACAAGGGTCACCATTCATATCGTTACAGCTGTTTCGGGTTTGGACCAAAATTCATGCTCGCCACAGCTTTTATGTGAGACAAAGCCAACTGTAAATGCGTTTCTCAGTGATTACAAAGGCCTCAAAATTCAATAAGAAATGAGGAAAAGAATTAGGAAAAGTAGAAGGAAATGAAACCATCAGTTGATTACATAAAATGCAAGCAATTTTTTATAGAAACATGTATAGTATATATTTTACTGGAAAAATGCATCAAACCCCATCACAACAACAACAACAACAACAACCACAATAAAAGAACATGTCCATAATTCTGGAGACGGCATCATCATTATTCTCATAAGGTACATTGATATTCACTATTCCAGAATAATTAGTTGGGAAGCAAAGAGAGACATCAAATTAACATGAGGAAGATAATTTGTTTCGATCTTTTCTGTTATCTAAAGCCGTCTAATGCGTATTCAAAGAAGAAACGATACTCTTCACGTCTTTTGGCTTCTTAACAAAATGCTAGAATCATGTGGGGTAACAGTGGGACTGGACATTAGTTATTAAACCGTTTTGTAATCATTTGATACGGTTTCTTTGTATTTTAAAATAAAGTGAAGGGCTTTTACCGATAATATATGTTGGCATTGAATAAAATAAATAAATAACAATTCTGCCATTGCCCAGCACCCATCAATATCCTAAACTAGTGTCCAAAAGAGGTATCATGCGAGAAATTAAAGGAATGCTGGGATTGGAATATAAAGTTTAAGCGCTAGAGAATAATGAATGTGGGATTTTCCTGTGGCAAAATACATTCTAAGTGAGATAATTTTAACTTATGTTTTATAACATATACAATATCATCATAAATTATATAAAGAAAATAAACGTTTCAATCAGCTTGAATGTTATATTGGCATCAGGGTAAAAGCGTGTTTTTTGATACTCGAAAAAGTCCAGTTTTCATTATTGAAACCCAGATAATGCATGTTTAATGCATTATCTGGTCGAAAATTTTCAATGATGACTATAGTAAATATCAATGAAGGAAGATCTGTGGGATGAATCTAAACATGCGGTTTGCGATGCATAGCGAGTCTTAATGTTAACATGGCACGCTACAACAATTGTATTTATCGCCAAAGTCAATGAACATGCATGGATAAGAACACCGTAATTTAACTCTTCAAAACACCAAGCGGTTGTAATTGGGTGAATTTGAGTGATCACGAAACTAGCAACGACTTTCTTAATAAACTGGACATAAAAGTTAGAATTAAGACAGAAAAAAATCAATAGCATTGTTTATCGTGAATTTTAAACTAAATTTGTTAGTCGAAAGGTCCAAATAAAGTAAACACTGGAAGTCATCAAATGCTGATTCAGATTTTATAAAAAGAAAATTCTTTTAATTTGGTTCCAGTACAAGGTTAAAGCAAAATTGGTCACGTCGATGGGGCTAATACATAATATAGTCCAAAATTAAGATCACGTTTTAATGTTTGACTCAGATGCATTGGTAACATAAAATGATATGATGAAGGTATCGAAGATCCTTGATAAGTATCATAAACTACAGATAGAATTGGAAACTTGACTTTATGGAATTCGGATTTCTATGGAATTTGGATTTGCCATTTAATAGGAAATTGGAAAACCGTAATTATTTCTAATGGTGTACAGTATATACATGTGTGTGTTTTTATGTGTGTGTTTGCGTCTGTGTGTGCAATGTCAGGTATTATTTTTGGTTGCAAGATGATTTTTGGTGACAACTAAGCATGCTTAACTAACGATTCAAGATTCAGAACTATTTTAATCTGCATCATTACATGTGATGATTTTTTCAACGAATGCAGACTATTCGTCGGCAGTTTGATGATCCTGTCATTATTCTGGCATTTGTTACTTAGCAGAAGAGAATGATCACTATCTAAATTCGTTCTTCAGCACGATCATTATGTTTGCTATAACGATGCAATAAAACTCATGTCTACCTCTAAAATTGCTAGATTGTAATGACAATTTTGGTGATTGTATTGAATAGTGTACACTATTTTCTGCAGGAATGGGCTGGTGACCTAACAAAATGTATTAATTCCACGAATAACATGTATCACTGCCTACAAATGTCTGGGCATCAGAATATGATAAACATTAAAAACAAATTATACGCTTATACCGCCTGTTATTAAATAAGGAATGGTGTTGAATTGTAGACATATTAAAAGAGAGCATTTCAAATGCATCAAAATTAAATAGCAAATATCTATCGTTCCCAAAGCAAGGTAAAGGATCTTGCAGAGCTTTCATTTGTGAGGTAAACTTTAGAAGAAATAAACAAAACAAAACAGGGTGCTGCATCTGTGAAACATGTTAAGAGATGTATGTCGATATCAAATGATCGCTTCTTCCAGCCAAAAAATATGTTTGCAAATTATTGTCCCATCCAAACAAAAAAAAGAGACTATCCTAATATAGCATAATATAGAAAAATTTTAAACAATTACATTTTTTTAAACTGTTAAAATGTTAGCAAATCATGCATTTCAGTTTGGCATATAATGTACTTCAATTTGGAAAATCAGATTTCAATGAAGAAAATTCAGTAAAATCAATTTGGATTAAAAAGATATTATAGTAGGGTAAATCAGATATGTATGTATGTATGTATGTATGTATGTATGTATGCATGTATGTATGTATGTATGTATGTATGTATGTATGTATGTATGTATGTATGTATGTATGTATGTATGTATGTATGTATGTATGTATGTATGTATGTATGTATGTATGTATGTATGTATGTATGTATGTATGTATGTATGTATGTATGTATGTATGTATGTATGTATGTATGTATGTATGTATGTATGCATGCATGCATGCATGCATGCACGCAGGCAGACAGGCAGGCAGGCATAGTTTGGTAGGTAAGTAGATAGGTAGGTAGGTAAGTAGATAGGTAGGTAAGTAGAATGGTTGGTAGGTAAGTAGATAGGTAGATAGGTAAGTAGATAATCAGGTCGGTAGCTAAGTAGATATGTTAGTGGACGAATGCGTAGCTAGGTAGGTAGGTTGGTTTTAGCACTTAACAGAACATTAACACATTAGTAGATAGTAGTAGTAGATAACGCTTATTAAATGTAAAATTTCAAACATGCAGAAACCGAGAATTAAATAAAATACCAAGGAAGATAAACCATTCCAAATAAACGGAGTCATGAAGCATGTAATGCGTGTCTGTTCTTCTTGATTAAAGCCGTCGTCTGGTCTGACGTTTCTAAGGCAGCGAATCCAGTAAGTGTCAATTGCGTTTCAATCAAACACAACGGAATGGAAAAGATCGGGCATGCTATTACATATATATCAGGTTTTGTGTTTTTGAATGTAATAGTGCTGCAGTGAACAGAGGTTATTGCTCTCGTTCCTGTGATGGAGATATCACTTGCTTTGCATCTTTACCCCATATTGTCTGGAGGATTAATTCCTAGTTTAGCTGAGATCAGTTTAAGCTTTGCCCTGACGGGATATCTATCTGATATTTTGGTCTGAGGTATGCTTTCACTGGATAATTTTGAAGACAAAAGGATTTAAGGATTTATGATGACTAAATATTAGAGCAATGTAGCTCGATAATTCTGGCTTTTAGAAAGCACTCTAGATAGAACGTCAGGATTAATGGAATTTTTAAAAATTGTTCCCCTTGTTTTGTTTTATAAGAAGTTGTCAAATTTCGCCTTTATTATGGCATCATCCATTTACTAAATAGTTTAGCACAAAATGTTTTTAATTTTTATTCGAATGAGCATATTCTTATCACTTGTAACGCCTGGCTATGTTGAATGTTTTGAAATTTGGAATAAATGTCCGTTGGAGTTTTCTTCGACGATTTAATTGGTTTGTCCATAAAAAAAAAACATTTTTGTGTCTGATATGTCTGCATTAAATTTGATTAAATGTTATCATTCGTTTGATTTCATTATTAAATCATCAAGCTTTTAATTTGACATTGGTGCCGTTTCATTTCATTATCGTTAGTGAAACATGACCAGTCGTGTGGAATGGAGCTGGTGTTGACTTCCAGTTTGAACATAAACATATTTGTATACGATTGGTCATTTTCTTTCTCATTGCGACGCAACTAATTTATAATTATTTCTTTCGTCTGAATTCTAACTTTTTATCTTTAATACAAATTCGATAAATCAGAGAGAGAGAGAGAGAGAGAGAGAGAGAGGGGGGAGAGAGGGATTTAACATTTACCGTAATTAATGTGTCCAGAGACAACCTGGGATGACACAAGCGAAAATATTCTGCGCTCTAATTTTAATAGATATTCTCTCGTATCTTGTTACGATAGTCCAGAGAGAGAGAGAGAGAGAGAGAGAGAGAGAGAGAGAGAGAGAGAGAGAGAGAGAGAGAGAGAGAGACAGACAGTCAGACATGCAGACAGAGACAGAAGGAGACAGAGAGAGCTTTGGACATTTTCATATTTAATTAATACTTTGTTAAAATCGTTTAATAGGTTTAAAAAACAACAGCAACATCAAA